TAAAAGTAATTCATTAGATAACATCTTTAAAAATGTATACACATTTTTTAGCACCCCCAGTATCTTAATTGATTTATTTAGCAAGGTTATACATTATGTGCTGAGAAAGTTTTCTAGATTTTCACATTAATATATGTTTATTTAATGGTAATTCTTATAATCTCAGGTTTGATTATCATAGCGTTAAATCAAAAGGGAAGATTAAGTGTGAATGTATATAATTTTAAACCTTTAGAAACCTCGTAAATAACAATTCTAAGGTTAATGAAAGAGATTCTCGCCAACATTATTAGTGTGGAGAGTAGTTAGTAGATTTGGATTTCTAGGTAAGTTTTGTGGTGCTGAAATATATTTGGTATAAAAGAAAGAAAAAAATAATTTTCAAACAAAGTCCCTGTGGAATAGAGATTAGCTATCAGGAAGCCAATATTTAATGAAAATTGCTCAAGCTTAAAGTTAAAAAGGAAATCTTGAGTCAAGAAGTAACTTCCCTCTGATGTTCTCATTGTGACGGCCTCCTGACTCACTCTTTATTCAGTTTGAATAAGTCACACTTTAGTGACTTAGATTTCTAGATTATGAAATGGGGCTGATTCAGTGCTCCTATTTAATGGTCTCACTGGAACTTAAAAGAAAAAAAATATATTTTTTTATTACAAACAAGTAGATTGTCATCTTATTTTTTTCCTACATAAAAGTAGATGATTTTGCCGGGCTCGGTGGCTCAGCCTGTAATCCCGCACCTTTGGGAGACTGAGGTGAGTGGATTGCCTGAGTCCGCGGGTTGGAGACCCGCCTGGGCAGCGAGACCTCATCTCTACAATAAATCAAAAAATCAGCCGGGCATGGTTGCGCGTGCCTGTAATTCCAGCTACTCGGAAGGCTGAGGTGGAAGGATCGCTGGAGCCCAGCAGGCGAGGCTGCGGTGGCCGGGAGCATCCACTGCACTCCAGTCTGGGCAACCAAGTGAGACTCCAACTTAAAAAAAAAAGTAGATGATTTTGTAATGGGTTCAATACAGAGGAAGCATTTTCATTTCTGTGCTGCCCATGGAAGACTGTTTTTCCTCTATGCAGTAGTACCGTTCTCTACAAAATAATAGTGGAAGCAGGGCTCATTTTTGGTGCTTCCTCTCTCCCAGAGCCTCACCAGAGGGAGCCTACACTTCCCTCTCTCCAGTAAACCAAATCAGCAGAGATTAGGAGGCTGGCACTTGACTGCTCAAAGGTTGCCCCTTCCTATGCTAGAGTAGTGAAAATTAAGTCTGAAGAATGAAACATCACTTTATTTAAATGGGAAATAACTGTGCCTTAGAAATGTTCAGGACCTGATAATTAACAGGGCTTGTGTAGCTTTGTGTGTGGGCCAGTGTGCTAGCAACACAGCAACAAATGAAGATGTGAGAATTTCTTTCATATCCAAAGTGGTTAAAATGGAGCAGTAACAGAAAGCAAGGCTTTTCCTCCCAAAAAGGAATGGCAATAGAGCTTAGAGCCTTTTTTAATGTGTGTAAGACGCTGTCATGTTTCATGTTTAAGAATGTCCTCTCATGTTAAATAAGTTAGGTCTCCATATACCTTCTCCTTGAGGCATGAACCAGATGGATTATGTCCCATTTTATAATGACTGATGGAGAATTACCACACTCTTTTGTTGCTAAGAATGTCTTAGTCAGTGACTCGGTACTTTAGGGCTTATGCATAGATAATGTGATAATATAAAGGCATATGGTAGATGAAAGGGTTTGGCTCTCTTTGAGGTCTGATTTTTCAGATTTTCCAATTGAGAACTTTCCCATTATTTGAAATCCTGAACCTAATCCACATTTTAAAAGTATGTATCATTATAGTCTTCTTTAAAAGGAGAGGGGAAAAAAGATTTGGAATCTTCCCTTTTTAATTTAATTGATTGCACACATTTTAAGGAAGGAAAAACCTGTATTAAAATTGTAATAATATATACCGATAACAAGAGATGAATACAAGTCACACTTGGTAGATGGTTGCACTGGCCAGTTCTACTGTCCTGCCTGTCCCATGGTGATATTCAGTTGATTAAAGCCATCTTTTGAGCAAATGTGTATACATTTTTTTAGCACCCTGGTATTTATTTTTCACCATCTATTTGTATGGCAATTTTCTGGTAGGGAACATGAAGTTTGTGCTCTTTTTTTTTTTTTTTCTTTTGAGTTGGAGTTTCACTTTGTCACCCAGGCTGGAGTGCAGTGGCACGCTTGAGGCCACCCCAGTGTCGACCTGTTGGGCTCCAGCGATCCTTCCGCCTCAGCCTTCCAAGTAGCTGGAACCATGTGCACTACCAAACCCAGCTAATTTTTTCATTTACTGTAGAGGCGAGTTCTCTCTAGGTTGCCCCGGCTGGTCCTCTTGCTTCAACCTCCCAAAGTGGAGCCATCGCACCCAGCCTATGCTCATTGTTTTTTTAAGAATTAGTAATAGGCCAGGTTCGGTGGTTCAGCATGCCACTGCACTCCAGCCTGGGAGATGAAGTGAGACTCCAACTCGAAAAAAAAGAGATTTAGTAATTGACTTGGGAAAAGAAAAATAATCTAGCAGAATAGGTTGAAGAAGAGACTCGCAGCAGTGAAAGTGGTAAGGAGATTTGTATCAGTCCAGACTTGAGGGCCTCAAGACCAGAACTCAAATGATACAGAAGGGGTTTAGTTTAGAAAGGAGGGACTGACCTGAGAAATATTTTCTATGAAGCAATTGTTAGGGTCAGGGAGCCTAACCCTCAGGGATGTAGGAGACAGAGTGCTGTGCCTAAATATGTGGGAGAATTCAAACATATTCCACTTCTTAGGAAGAGCTGGTAATGTGTGCAAAAAAAAAAAAAAAGGAAATCCATTTTGCATGTCTTGAATTTAAAGACAGTAACTAGAGTTAGCATTGAAAATGCATGACCGTGCTCCAAGAGAAATCAGACCTGAATATAGAGATTGAAAACCCACAGCAGTAAGAGTTGTGCTTTATTAAAGTAAATGAGGTAACAAGAAAGAGAGTGAGCCGGGCTTGGTGGCTCAGCCTGTAATCCCGCGCCTTTGGGAGGCTGAGGTGAGTGGATTACCTGAGCCCACGGGTTCGAGACCCGCCTGGGCAGTGAGACCTCATCTCTACAATAAATCAAAAGATCAGCCGGGCATGGTAGCGCATGCCTGTAGTTCCGGCAATTTGGAAGGCTGAGGCGGAAGGATTGCCGGAGGCCGGCAGGTCGAGGCTGCTGTGGCCAGGAGCGTCCACTGCACTCCAGTCTGGGCGACAGAGTGAGACTCCAACTCAAAAAAAAAAAAGAAAGAGAGTGAATCAAATGTATATTACAGGAGTTTTCTTTCCTATTTCCATAGGAGAAAGTGGGAGTCTAGGAGAATGGAAATATGTTCCTAGTCCAGTTGACTCACTTGCAGCAAGGGCAACAGCAGCTCACTGGCCAGTAAAGTGCTGGTTCACAGGTTGAGTGCCAGGCAGAACACTGGCAGGGATGTGCCAAGTGTCTACACACACTGGGTTTCTGAGCCTGATTGCAAACAGGCTTTATTCTAGTGAGGGAGAATTATTATTTCAACTATCCTAGTTATTCTTCCCCAATTCTAATCACAATTTAATATGGATACTGTCTGTGTGTGTGTGTACATATACGTGCATATATATGTACATCTATATATCTATGTAAATATGGTCTGTTAATTTGTGTTATTTACATGCTTTTCTTAAAATTTGTTTCTTTTAAACCATTTTCATGTGCATTGTTTCTCCTCCAGTAGAGTTTAATTGCCTATGTGTAAGGAGCTGCCATTTAGTAGTGTCAACTCCTCAACAGTTTCTCATTCATTCATTTATGTATTGATTCCAGTTTATTCATACATTCATTCATTCTGGACACTGTATTAAGTTGTTAAAGTGATGACTAAGACATAGTTTCTGCCCTCAGAGAGCTTACTATCTAGTTGCAGAAGAAAACAGAGACATTTAATCCAGATTATATGGAGGGAGCAGTGGGGACAGGTAGTTCAAGAAGGGTTTTTGGAACGGTTGACTTCTGGGCTGAGACTTCAACAATAGACAGAAAGGTGGGGAAATGGTATTACTGATAGTGAAAACAGCCTGAGTGTAGATAGATCCATTCAGAAGAAAAAGTGAAGCAGTTTGGCGCTGCTGAAGCATCAAGTGAAAGGCAAAGAGTGGTGAAAGATGTTATTGTGGGGCAGGCAGAGACCACTGGAGGGACTCGTATGCAGCACATGGAAGCAGAGACTACATTCAGTGATTAAAGAATAGAGAAGTCCTTGAAATGCTTCACCCAGCTTTCACAAAGCATTTATGGTAGCTGGTATAGGTAAGAGACATTAAGGACCTAAACCAGGGCAGTATTATAGGAATGGAGAAGAGGAGGCAAAATCAAGAACTATTTGTAACATCAAATCAGCAGGATCTGCTAAAGACAAGGGGGAGGAAGGACCAAGGACAGTGTTAGGACGGTGTTAGTGTTATATGCCTGGGTGAATGTTGGCACAATCTCCTAAGAGAATACAGAAAGAGAGAGAATACAGTGAGTTCATTTTTGATTTTGTTATCTTCAACACATTGGAATTTTTAATGTGTCTATGACATATTTGGAATTAAATCTAATTCACGATGAGCTGGGATGTCTAGATAACCAGAAATAACTCACGTCAGTATTCACCTTAACCATCATATCTCCTCTTGGAAGCAGGGGCAACCCTAATTTTCCTGTAACTCCGCATGTATCTATCTCTCATGGCTCTTTCACTGCATTGGGAACCTTACTTTTCTTTCCTATTCAGCTGTGTAGTCACAGTTCGTATTTAGTTCATAACCTCACCATAAATGTGAGTGAGTGAGTGAATAAGTGAATACCAAGTGAAGAACTTATCTTAAAAATTATTATTATTATTTGATTATTAGGAAAAGTTTATTCTTGGCTTATTCTCATCCTGACTGTTCTGTGTTCTAACTCCTAGTACCTTCCACTGGAAGAAGCTCAAACAGTACAACTCCCTCAGGAGCGGTGGCACCAGCCAACTCAGCTTCAGGGCAACCCCAGCCAAGTGACAAGGACACTTTAGTGCAGAGAGCTGAGCACATTCCAGCCGGAAAACGAACTCCAATGTGCGCCCACTGCAATCAGGTCATCAGGTTGGTGATGTTTCTTGAAATGTTCTTGAAAGTACTTAATACAATGTTGATTTTTAAAAACAATATTTTCTAAAATATTTAAAATTTTATTAGTGAGAATGTTCTTTTCATAATCCTATGTAATACCTATAATTATTGAGTAGATAAATATGAATATAATACCTGTTAGAATCTATTTTAATGAAAATAATTCTGGGCTCTGTGGAAATAAAGCTAAAAATACTATTTGTGACCGTTAATTAATTTCTATCAGAACTAAGGAAAAATAGTGATTAATGTGGCCTTTCGAAGAATAATAAAATTTTAAGATTCAGAGGGACACTGAAGATTATTTATCCCAATTTTGTTATTCTACCAATTATAGAAGTGAGGACTTTCATTTAGATGAAAAATAACTAGTGACATAAAATAAAGAACTTTTGGCCCTAGAGAAAAGAAGATTGGATTTTTGAATGCCTAAGCATTGAAAAGTAATTACCTTCAGCTCTATTCATAAAAGCTTTGAGTATTAGATTAGGTAATGTCCTGTTCTTTAAAATATTTTTTGTCCAAATCTGTTTTATTGTCTCTCAAGTTACAAGAAGGAAAAAGAACCCAGAGATCTTAAGAGTGCACTGTACTGGAACCTATAAAATCTCTGAGTGTTTCTTAATAAGTGGCTTTTAGAAGGTGTAGGTTCGGATGCTAATTTCAGGTATCCAGCAAAAGGGACCTTGGTGCCTCTAAGGTGAGTTGCCTTGTTGGCAGTAACAAATGATGGTTTGAAGTGATTTCTCAAGCTCTCTTCTTATTGAATGTTTTGAAATAGTTGAAACACTGTATTCTCTAAAGTTGAATAAGGTTAAGACTTAATTGTATTTTGCCCTCCTCTATTACATAATTATTGCTTAGCATAATATTTCTTGGTAATATTTAAAATGAGGCCAAGAAACCTCAATGTTTCATTTAAGAACCAAATGTAAATACTCCTCCTTAACCTACTGTTAATTAAACAATATATGTGTCAAAAACACAGCACAGAGTATGTGATTAAAAATTGGAGTTTTTCTTTTAAAGGTAGTTAATGCTCATTGTGACATTTACAAAAAGTTAGAAAAAAAGAAAGCAGAAAACAAAGTTCTCACATAATTCCACCACCCAAGATAACTTCTATTAGTACTTTTTGTTCAGACTTTTAAAACACTCACACATAAGGACAGATATCATTTTACAGAAATGGAATCATAATACAGTGTTTTGTAAGCTGCTTTTTTCACTTAAATTGTACTTTTCAGCTGGGCACATGGCTCAAGCCTCTAATCCCAGAACTTTGGGAGTCTAAGGCAAGAGTATTGCCTGAGCCCAGGAGTTCGAGACCAGTCTGGGTGATTTGGTGAGATCTCATCTCTACAATATGTCAAAAAATTAGGTATGGTAGTACACAGTAGTTCTAGCTACTTGGAAGGCTGAGATGGAAGGATTGCCTGAGCCCAGTGGGTCGATGCTGGGGTGGCCATGAGTGTGCCACTGCACTCCAGCCTGGGCGACAGAGTGAGACTCCGACTCAAAATAAAATAAATTAAATTAAATTAAATTAAGTTAAAATGTACCTTTCAGAGTAAGTACCTGCTTAATAAGAATTAGCCAGTGGCAGTGGTAGTAATAATAGTGGTTATGGGAAGAAAGGGAAAATCAGTGGAGGTTTCTGAAGTCTAGCATGTTTGGCACACAGAAGGCATTCAGTCAATGTTTAACTGAACAGATCACATGTGACTCTAGATCCATCCATCATTCAAGGCAATATGTCAATTTGGTTAGAGTCATTTTCCTAAAAAGTACTAGTTAGGGTTACTATCTTACAGAATTTTTTTTTTCTTTTAATTAGAGTCTCATCTCACTGTCTCCCCCAGGTTGGAGTGCAGTGGTGCAATCATGGCTTCCTGCAGCCTCGACCTCCTGGGTTCAGGCGATCCTTTCACCTCAGCCTCCCAAGTAAATGGGATTACAGGTTCACGCCACCATGCCTGGCTAATTTTTTAATTTTTAATTTTTTTGTATAGATGAAGTCTTGCTATGTTCCCCAGGCTGGTCTCAAACTCCTGGATTCAAACACTTCAGCCTCCCAATAAATATTTAAAGAAATATAAAAGCCAGTATGGTGCTTCTTTATCACAATAAGTAAAACAATATTTTAATTACTACCTGTCTTGTTATATTTTTATGTTTAATATTGATAAAATAAAAATAAACTCTGACTTATAACATTATAGATTATAGCAGTCTGGTTACCTAGACTGGTTATAGTTTAGGGATATTATGTTCTGGATAAAAATACTTTTTATGGAGACAGGATTTACTGCTGTTATTTGTGTGCTATTGTATGCAGGTAATTACTGAATGAGTTAACAAAATATTAGACCACATCAGTTGCTGATTCATGATGTCTGATTATTAAATTCTGTGACATCCTATAATCACCAGTACTAGCACTTCTGAAAAACATACCTTTTATGGAGAAAATATAAAGATAAAAGTAGAAATTACATTCACCACCCTTACCTGTCTTGGTTTCAAATTTAATGCTAGGCCAGGATGCACTTTTAATGCACACTCATCCTGCTATATAAAATAAATCTATTAAGCTAATAACTTGAGTGGCCATAACTTATTGTTCCCTCATCTGTTAAATGTTATATTGTTCTGCATTATCCAGTATTTGTTATCAGTTAAGCATTAAAGCTTCCTTTACTAAGGAAGTTAATAGAAATGGGGATTAGTGCATGTCAAGATCATGTAACAGTAATTAACACAGTACATTTGCCTGGTGCTCAAACGCTAAAGCAGCTTGAATAGATTGTAGTCAGTTCAGAAGCCTAGTCAAAGCATAATTCTAGTTCCTGGCCTCAATAGCAGTATTACTTACTAAAGCAAGGAGGCTTTAGATCAAGTGACACTCTCGGACACCTGTTTTAAAAATGAGCTGCAGTTGCAGGCTCGATACTTTCAATCCAGAATATTATACCCTGGCAAACTCTGAGAAGTTTAAGGTTTATTTTGTAATTAATATTGTTAGTATTCTACCACATAATTTGTACTGAGTATAATAATTTGTATTGTTTGTTTTATATTTACTTTTCTAATATTTCAAATTTATTTTTAAAACCCCAATATTTATGTAAGGGCAAGCTAAAGCAAACTTTATGTTTTATTTTATAGGGCTTTTGTTTTATTTATTTATTTATTTATTTTTTGAGTTGGAGTCTGCACTCACCTAGACTGGAGTGCAGTGGCCGCTGCCAGCCACCGCAGCCTCGACCTGCTGGGCTCCGGCGATCCTTCCGCCTCAGCCTTCCCAGTAGCTAGAACTACAGGCGTGTACTACCACACCCGGCTAATTTTTTATTTATTGTAGAGATGAGGTCTTGCCAAGTTGCCCAGGCAGGTCTCGAACCTGCAGGCTCAGGCAATCCACTCACCTCGGCCTCACAAAGTGCTGGGATTACAGGCTGAGCCACCGAGCCCGGCCTGTTTGTTTGTTTTAAAAGCAGAGTTGATTGTGTCAGAAAACCTCAGAAACCCACATGAACTATGGTACACGTACATGTAGTACTGTAGACTGGTTATCTTTTATAGAACATTCCATTTAAAACTCTGTAGATAATCTTGTTTGGATCTAATGTTTAAATCTTTTTGGTTTATTTGAATCATGAAAAGTGCACGCATGTTTTGCCTAAATTGTATTATGGAGGCAATACTTTGACCTGCTACAAAAAAAATAGGGAGTTACATTTTAGGAAATTCTATTGAAGCTTTGATTAAGTTTGCTATGGAGCATTTCTAGTCCAATTATGATAGGCATATAATTTCATCAGCTCTTATACTCGTGAAGAGATTGACTGTTGGAGTGCTGACATAATAGAAAACCATAAAAATCAGGCAATTGTAGCCATTTTAATTTTCCTGTTAGAATGGGCTGAGGAATATTCGAGCTTATTTCTTGAGTGTTACGTCTTGGGCATTAAAATCTGTTGACCATGTGTATGGAGTTAACGGAACCATTTATGTCTCACTTCTTGACATCTTTGTAAAAGTGCTTGAATTTCTTAAATATGGAATACTTAAAAAATAGCCACATACTATTGTTTTGTCTTTGCCTACAGTACAGTACCAGAACAGCCATATTCAGGCAATCATTGTTTATTCCAGTGAGAGAGATAATTGTAACATTATGATTTGTCATTTGCTCTGTGATTTTCAAACTTCTTTCATAAAGAGAGCCAACTCGAGTTACCTCAAGGAGAAGCAGAAAGTTTTTTTTTGCCTGTTTTATTACCCATTTTAATCTCTGAGAACGCCCTTACTTATAGGTTTTATTTGTTGTCCCCACCAGTTAAATCTTTATTTGAAAATAAAAGGTTTTGGGGATTACTATTTTAACCCCTGAATTAAAGGAAACAACTAAAGATGTTGACTAAGACTTATGAGCAAGACTATAGTGAAAAATTGGGAAGAACATTAATGTTCAGCATCTATGTAACATAATATTGTGGTGCTATTAAGATCCTATTAGGGGATAGTCATTAATGTTAAATGTGTTTTTAGTATATCCCAAGTGTTACACCAAGAATTTTACTTGAATCCTCATAACAACCCTGTAAGACAGTTGCTATTATTACTCCACAGATAAGAAAATTAAGGCACAGAGAAAAATGAGTCACATATGTGGCCAAAGTTGTACACAAATAATAAATGGTAGCACCTGAATTTAAGCCCAGATCTAATTTTAATTTTTTTTCATTCTTTTTAATATCTACATAGGAAAATATTTATAATATTATATTAAGATGTCAAAAAGAAATATAAACCCGAGTATGATTCCAATTTTGTATGAAGATAATACACACCAAGTTACATATTTAAGCATTTGATAGACAGCTGCTGTTTATTGAACTTGATTGGTATCATGCCAAGAACTTTATTAGTATTATTCTACCGGATTCTCAAAATAACTCCATTAAGTT